ATCGGGGGGGGGGGGGGGGAGTTATATATGAATTAGATTATACATGATTCAGTAGATTTTGTACTGAAGTGAAAAGATATTTTTTAAAAAATTAGAATTCATTTCGAAAAAATTGGAGAGAAAGAGGAAGAGAGAGACGAGGGGGGGAAGAGAGAGGATGAGACAGGTGGACGGAGAAAGAGCATACTAATTTATATTATGTTTTTAGGAGTTTGCCATGGCGACGATGCTTTTACTGTTGTGAAAACTCAATACATAGATCCAATGACTACACCAGACGATCGCAATATGCAAAAACATTTAATCGACATGTGGTTATCTTTTGCCAGAAATGGGTGTGTACTGAAAATACTGAATCATATCACACACAATCAAGTAATATGAAAATGTTAATTCTTATTGTTCCTTATTTTGTTTTTTAGAACACCAAATGTAGCTGATGTGGAATGGTTTGAAGTGGATCCTTCAAAGAAAGAATTTCAATATCTACATCTTGCTCATCCTACTAGAATATATATGGATAGCAATGCTAATTTAGGAAACAAACAATTTTGGGACTCGATTAACTTAAATGAAAATAAATTGCAAAATGGACATAACAAAAGTACAACTAAGAAAGTAAAAAAGGAACTTTAGATAAAGTAAAAGTTGTATTTAAAAGTATTTTATATATTCTTTTATATATGAATTCATTTTTACAAATATAACAGTAGTTTAGTTCTATACATACATAAATACAGCATTGTTTTCAAAACAATTTTTTTTACCACATTGCAAAAGTGACAATGAACTAATGGACAATGGACTAATTTTTAATGCAAATATAATCTAATCTTTAGCACAATAATATGAGAACTTACCGGATGATTAATGTAGATGTCACAGGTACTGAGCCTACCAATTTTTGAGGTCCCATTTTTAATTTGATATTCAGTAGTATCAACACATAATATTCCAACCTGAAAGAACATTAAGCAGATATATGGAATGTATAATTTAAAAGAATAAAGACAATTATAAATTCATACACAAAGATTCTTATTCTCAACTCTCCTTTATCGATCAAAATATCTCTAAGGGTAAGGTTGATTTGAAGCTTAAATGCTTTAGAACTCCTAAAGCTCTTTGAAGCATTTGCAACACTTAATGGATCCTACACTTAAAGATATTTTTGTTGATAAGACAGAATCGAAAATAGAGACTTGCAAAAAGATTAAAATAATAAAAATTTAATTCTAAATTTAAATTGGTTTACAATTTTTCTCTCTCGTATTATATAATATCGCTATAATATGAAGTATAATATTCAATGCAAGAATAGTATAAGATAAAAAGGAAAATAAAATAAAAAGAAATTATAACTAACCTGTATCAACCCTTTTTCCTCAAAAGTTTCTGAAATTCTCTGAGTACATTCAAAGTCTTCTTCCTCGTATATTTGTGTTGCTGCACAATCCATTATAATAAACTTGCTGTATCCTCTCAAATAACTTAACTTTAATCGTTATTGGCGAAACAGTTGACGAAAAAGAAAATTTACGTCATATATTTCTAAATTTTCACAACATAACCTCTAACACGATTCGGTTGCAGACAGTCAAGATCGTGACGTAAGAATACACACGTAACAAATATTTGATCGAAAGAACACAAAAAATAATAAATAATATTTGACAGAAACATTTAAATTAATACAACACAACACATTTCGATATTAGTTAGAAACAATACACAGCAGTTTGCTTGTTACTTTTGAAATGTTCTGCGCAGCAATTCGCGCCACAATAGATATCACGGCTGACAAGTATTCGGCTGCGTTCCTTTTGGGCGTTCACGCGCTGTAAGCGTGAGGGTGCAAACCCATGCAGCGGAATAGCGGAGCGCGGAACGAGAGCGGAATGAGCGGAAGCAATCACGAGCGAAAACTGTGGAACGCGCGTGATTGGTCCCGCTCTCGTTCCGCGCTCCGCTATTCCGCTGCATGGGTTTGCAGGCACCCTTATACTTAAGATAATTTTATCTTCAGATGCTGATGCAGATCCGCATCAATGAAAAGATCAGTCATTTAAAGGCCCATTTATGAAAGCCGTAACCGTTAACTTATGCTGTAATCTTATGCTATAAGAAATTAACCAATTGCAGATTTTTACAAAAATAGTCAACTGCAATTAATTCATTTCTTATGGATTACAGCATAAGTTAACGATTACGATCTCTATAAATTGCGTACCTCTATAAATTGGTCTTAAAGATGTGCTTAAAATGATCATAAATATAAAAACGAGTAATAAATACTAACTCTAGGTATACTATATCCGAAAAAGTAAAATTGGAGTACAAGCATACAATTCGACTGACAAAAATTACAAGCACATTATCATTTTCAGTCTTTATGCAAGTTAAAACTCACTCTATCGCGACAGATCCGAGAGTGTGTCGTTCTGATGATCCACGTTGCTGGTGACGATACATCCTTTCAGTAAAAGCACACTACGCGCACTTCTCGACTATAATTTGCGAACGCGATACTCTTCTCCAATGAATCGGAGACGTAGAGTGGCGAGAATTTCAAACTGTGACAATACGATGGCGAACGCATGATACTTCGGCACTCCCGACAGCCTGTTTTACGAGACGTTCAGCTTCGACAGTTATTTCAATACGCGACACTTGTTTTCGGCACTCCCGGCGACAGTTCACACACGAAACTCATTTTCGTCAAGTTGAAATCACGGGAACGGTCACTGTCACCGCTCTCCATCGACACCCATTTTGCAACTGACTATTCATGATGCACTGCTTGCTATTCTTAAACGCGGCAGATTTCATATTGACGCTCGTCACGCTAAAGCGACTATAAGTGCGTCAGGGAACTCGCTATTAGCGCTATTCAGCGCTACCGTGTCTTTCTATCTTTGTTGTTTATCTAAGGAGTAATAAAGATAGAAGAACGCGGTAGCGTTTGTTTTAATAAAAACAAACGTTTTAATTAAAGCGCGTTTTAATTAAAACAAATGTTTATTTAAAAAACAAAACATTTCTTTAAACGTTAAAAAAATGTTTTTTTCAGTGAAAAAAGAAATTTTATCCCATTATTTTTAACGTTTTAAAAGTGTTTTTCAAATATTTTTAAATATTGTTTTGCTAGTAGGCTGTAATGTTGCCCGTCTGTGAGTACGTTCGGGAAGCTTGCTACCAACCAGCATTACGTGTTATTTTATTTTTATACCTTTAATCTATGCGATAAGTTAAAGTGAAATAAAATATATTTGTTTCACTCTAACTTATGCAGCAGTACAGCCGAAAAGAACAGACCTCTTTTCATTTAAAGAGTGATAAAAATAACATAATGCGGTAGCGTTGGCAATGCAGTTTCCGAACGTACTCTGTAACAGTTCATCGCCGTTCGAGTGATTCAGTGTAGTTCAGATAAACAGCTGCTGATTGCTTGCTGCGTGCACGTGTTTTGCAACGGAACAAATTTCTCGAGATCTTTGTGGTTGGAAGACGCGTTGTTATCTACGTCAGCGTATATATTTCGACGTCGTAATGCGTATATCTTCATCAACTGCCAACAGTTAGATGAACGCGGAGCGCCAAGCGAGAGAGTCAGGGAGAACCGAGAGATCGTCGTCTGACAGACGGAAATGGCAGCGGAGGTCGACGGCGAGCAGTCGCATCCGCAATACATCAAATTGCCGCCCACCGTCGAGGTTTTCGCCAATCTGAGAAACGCACAAACGTTCGCGATCGACATCGGTACGTAAACATCGAGATTCGATCGACGCGTGTGAACGAAACGAACACTACACTCTGCGTTTTGAGGTTACAAAACGTTTTCCTCGTTACACCGAACGTTACGAAGCCTACCGTTGCCATTCAAGAATTTAAATGCACTTCTAACGTTGTTGCAGGTCTGTCGTTGACTAAAATTGCGTATTATTCCACAATAAGCTATCGCAAGGCACTTTATGAGAATGCAGGCTTGGGAAATAACGGCGAGCGAGCGTACAAAGTATTTGAGGGTAATAGGCTACATTTTGTTAAGTTTGAAACGAGATATATCGAGAACTGCTTAGATTTTGTCAAGGAGAATTTAGTAGATGTTGAGCGGTTTCATGGCAAAAGTATTAAAGTAACCGGAGGGGGAGCGTTTAAATATACTCCATTGCTGCAGGAAAAATTAGGATTATTGTAAGCATCTTTATTGAACTTTATTTAATGTATGCATGTATGTTAATTATTGTGTGGATATCTCTTCGACCAGATCTTCCATTCCACATATATTACTTTGTCGTGTAAGATACCACAACTTTTGTGATTACATATCTAACACGAGAAAGCATGAAACTGCTGAGAAGACTGTATCAGTTTGCTAATTGATAAGATAAATTTCAGAGTCGACAAAAAAGATGAGATTGATTGTCTCATAAAAGGTTGCAACTTTTTACTGAAAAACATACCTTGTGAAGCCTTTGAATATGAGCGACACGCAAATCCAGAGTATAACTTTCAAAAAGCTAGTCCTAATATATTTCCATATCTGCTAGTTAACATTGGCAGTGGCGTCAGTATTCTTAAGGTTGGTAATAGATAAGCAGCAAGTATGCTTGTTTATGGATCTTTCATTGTGAATCATTCTTATTTTTGTCTTCTTTTAGGTTGAGTCAGATGAGATATTTGAAAGAGTTGGAGGTACAGCTACAGGAGGAGGTACATTTTGGGGATTAGGTTCTTTGCTTACAAAGAGAAAGGTATTGCATTTATATTATCTTTTTTAATTCACAATATCATGATGTGTACTTTCAGGACAACATTGATTAATGTATTTTACTTGATTGATTTTATTTAATCTTTACAAATTTACATTAGAATTTGAAATTGTATAAATTGTCTCTTTATAAGAAAAGAAAAGATTTTACCCCGAAAAGATTTTACCCCGTCGTAGTGCCATTGAGTCATGTGTGAATAGTATATGTGCATATATAAATGTGTATTAAAGTGTTACTTTGAAAATACTCTGCTAGGGCTTTGACGAATTGCTGCAACTTGCAGAACGAGGAGATCATCGTAATGTAGATATATTAGTGAAAGATATTTATGGAGGCGATTATTCCTCCCAAGGTTTACCTGGAGACCTTATTGCATCATCCTTTGGCAAGGCAATGTCCTGTGGTAAGCATAAATTTTATACAAGTTGCATATTGCGGAAATTTTCTGCCAAAGATCTTTCTTCTTTCACCTCTCTTTCACGTTCTTTTATGTTTTTAAACATATGTAATTATGTTACAGGACCACCGAAATTTTCCGAAGCTGACCTTGCGAGGAGTTTGTTGTTTACCATTAGCAATGATATTGGCCAAATAGCTAGTCTGTACGCTACCGTGTACAGTATGGATAAAGTTTATTTCGGTGGTTATTTCCTCCGTAACCATCCACTTTCAATGCATACCATCTCATACTCCATCAAATATTGGTCTCATGTTAGTCTCTATGCATGTTTTTTTCTACATTTTATACAATGTTTTCCTGACAAATATTATATACTTGTAGATTGAAGTATTGTATAAAATTAGTTAAAAATGCAGAATAACTATAAAATGTATATATTTCTAAATATTTGTGTTATTATCACGTACCCATTATCTAGGGTAAGGTAAAGCCTCTCTTTCTTCGCCATGAAGGTTACCTTGGCGCAATTGGAGCATTTTTGTATGGCACTGAACAATCAGATAAGTGCAGCTGGTTGGAAAACTATGCTGGATCGTCGGGTTTTAAGGATTCTGTATCGACTGACCTCGGAATTAAGGTTGATCAATTGGAAATTGATCAAGCAGAGAATGCTGTTACATTTTGTCCTCTGTTAAAAGATCCTGCAACTTACAACCCTGATACCACAGATCTTGCTCAAGATAAAGAGGCTAGGTGAAAACTTTATCCAATTTTTTTCCAACTTTATCCAGTTTTGTTTCTCTTCTTTTCTTTTTTGCAACATGGAATAAATCATATAAATAATAAATAATTTATGTTTATAGGGATTACTGGCTGCAATGTTTTGAAGAATCTGTAGATAAATTTGTAGCAAGAGCTATTCATAGTCAACCACACAGTCCAACAGCAAAAGATAGAGCATTAAAACTTAAAGAGAAATATATTAACAGGTTACATTATCTGCATGCACAACCATTGTAAGTTTTTATCACTGTAAGTGGTAAAAAATTAATTACGAAAAAAAATGAGTTGTTATTTTTATTTATTTACAGTGCATATGGGACACTTACTGTTAGAATATTACTGGATACTATTGAACATTGCATGAAAGAGTTTGACTTTCCAGATCCATATTTACATGTAAGTTATTTTTTCAACGGAATTGGATAACTACTTAATTAGAGAGAGAGAGAGTGTGTGTATTAAAAGTTATATTAATATTAAAATTAGAAATCTAATAATGTTTAACTTTTTTTAATGTAGTTTATTTTAAATACGTCAACTTTTATAATTTAAACTAGTAGTTTTGCAGTGTATCAATTTTAACTTTTTAACTTTTTTATATAAATAAAATAATTCAACAATATTCAAACCATTGCAAACTGTTTACAATATAGAATAAGAAAAAGCAAAAATTTCAGTAGTTTTTTTTTAATGACAATGTTTTTATATGGAATAAAAAAAGTTATTCTTACATGCGTTATGCTATATTTGCAGCAAAAGAAAAAAGAAAATGAAGAAGCATTAAGACATCTACATGATCGCATTACGACTCTAGATGAGTTAGAAGGTGCAGAAAAGATAAAAGCTTTAATTGTGGGCGTTCTCAGTGGTAATATATTTGATTGGGGTGCAAAGGATGTTGCACAACTGTTGGAAACTACTGACTTTGGTTTTGAACAAGCTCAAGCAAAAATTCCAGGTAAATAATCAATTTTGTGGTTTGATGCATTTCAATGAAATATGAGAAATAATGTTTTGTCACAAATATAGATAGACCATGGCTACAGGATAATTTAGATGGTTGGATACACAGGTTACAAAACGGACCACCTCACAAATGCGCAGCTATTTTTGTTGACAACAGTGGTGTAGATATAGTTCTCGGAATATTGCCGTTCACGCGTGATCTGTTACAACGAGGAACTAAAGTTAGTTCTAATAACAATATTATTTTTGAGACAGTTTGTTTTTGAGATTGATAGTTCTAATAATAATATTATATTTGTAGGTAATATTATGTGCTAATTCAATGCCGGCATTGAACGATGTGACATATCCCGAATTGGTCGTAACACTACGAGACGCTGCAAAAATTTGTGACGTTATCAAACATGCTCTGGAAAATAATACACTTATTGCTATGGAAACTGCGCAAGCAGGTCCTTGCTTGGATTTAAGGTGTGTCTCTCTATTGCTTAACACTCTCCATATACCATATCATATGTTAATTTCAAGATAGAATAATCATTATCCTATTAAAAAAATAAGTAAATTTTTTTGTTTTTTTGAAAAGAACAAAAAAGATTATCCTACAAAGATTAAGCTAGAAGACGAGAAAAATAAAAGACTAGAAGTTATGAAAAATATCAATTTTTACAAATAGTTAAAACTATTTAAAAAAGAAAAAAATTAAAAATTAAAATTTCTATTAAAATTTCAAATAAAATTGTATCAGTATATGCTCTGACGGTATATCGAGGATTAATGCAATTATTTTGTTTTTATAATTATGTTGATTAATATTAATTCAACATTCAACAGTCGTCTAAATTTGGATCTGTGTCTTGCGATGGTGAAGCACAATGTGGATCTTATAGTCATCGAGGGAATGGGTAGAACTTTGCATACGAATCTTCATGCCAAAATGAAATGCGAATGCCTGAAATTAGCAGTTATTAAAAACCGGTGGTTAGCTCTTCGCCTAGGTGGCGATATGTATGCTGTGATATGCAAATACGAGGAACCATTACCGAAAATGAACATTAGCGATATTGAAGTAAAACCAGAGACATTGAAGAAGGAATGTCCAGCGGAATGTACAAGACAGGCAACAGAGCTTTGCGTACGCGACGGTTCTAACTAAATAAGCAGCAAAACATTGATATAAAATTATTTGTATAAAGACCAGAGTAATTAAATATATAACACATTGCCTTCCTAAAACTAAAATTAATGATAAAGTCATGTGCACATACGCTTAAATTATAGAAATATAATTACTGCTATTAAGGCTCTACTGATATTAAGGAAAAACATAGAGATTGAATATATATGATTCATCAGATAATCATATACTTGATAAGCATAAGGTTTAGTAAAATCATTAAATTTCCATCCATCGAGATCTATTTTTATTAATATGAACACACCATATATTTTCAATCATAGCGTATTTTACTGTATTGCTAATATGTAGTTATTCATATGTTACGTTACATTACGTTACGTTTATTACTATTTTCAGAAAATTCTAATATAATCTCCCAAATTTTAATTTCCTTAATTTGTATGCATTGTTTAAGTAAATTTTTATAAATCACACTTATTAATTACATACGAGACAAAAGTGTCATTTTTGTGTTTTACTGTTGAGGTATCTATACATGTGTTAAATATCGACGAAATTTCTGGGATCAATCAAAATCTTTTATATTTCTATAAAGTTATATTCAATACACTGATAAATGGTTTTATCATCCCATGAATCTTGTTACTCGCGTGTCAATAATACATTTGTAATATAATAGATTTCGAACATTCATTATTTCTCTCATATACATTCACCGCATCTATTCCATTATTTTAGTATAAAAATTGCCACAGGTTATCATATTATTTTACATAAACAAGTACGCGTCCGAACCCAGTACTGATATAAGAGAATAAAATACGATCGTTAACAATTGACTAATGACAATAAAAAAAAGAAATGTTAACGTTCGGTAAATAATATAATTTGCAATTGCTGTTATTGTTAGAAAAAGCAACTTATCACGAGTTGTAGGGAAAATTTGTGAAGTATTGTGTACGATACGTTTTCTGTGATATTACTATATACAATACACAGCAGAAATACCGCAAATACCGTAAACTAGAGGGAAGAGGGAGATCGTAATCCGAGGTTATATATAATATCTAATTAATAATATAAATCGACACATGATACATTTCAACCGCAACGAAGCACTACGGTCGAAATTCGTCATCACGAGGAAAACAGAAACTAGAAGAAAATTGTATATTTTTATCTTATTCGATAATAAAAGGACAACGAGAAAACAAAAGAGAAACATTAGTTGACTTAAATATATATTTACCAAAGGGAAGAAAGGAAGCGTGGCAAAAAGAGCAGAAGAAGAAAGTGGAAATCCGGCACATGGCGCCATTCGATAGCTTTCACTTTAACCTGAAGCTTTATGCGCGTGATCGGAAAGTAAGGGAAGCGCCGAGGTAGGGGAGAAGAGTTGGGAACTGCAGCGGATCGGGTGATAGAGGAACGAAGGGAAAAGGATGCTGTGCATGCTGGACACGCTCCACGTCCATTTCTTTCAACCACGTTCTACGCAGTGTCCAAGTCGGAGCTTTATTAAATTCCCGTTGTGCGATATTGTCCAGTCTGGAGAAGCAGACTGGTGCGCACAAGCTGGCTCAAACAATTATCTCCCAATTTGTGCCAGTGCGATAATCGATATCTCCTCAGATATCTCTATGATGTCTGTATATACTGCGTTATCAATCTTACGTAATTAATCTGTCTTATTAGGGGTATCCATAAGTAATAAAGTATTTGATCGTATTCTTATCAGTCCTTACACTTAAGCTGTGTACTATATAAACAATATTTTATCAGTGTGCTATTTGTGTAAAGTATTCGACTTCTTAAATATCATTGATTTAAAAATAAAAACTCTGTCTAAACTTTTAAATGTGTTTTATTTTAAAATATTTGATTATGAAGGCGCATATAATTAATATATAAAATATTTTATTTTATATATATATATATATATATCAGAGTAATATATCTCTCAATAAATACAAATTAATAGTAACATTACATCAATGTTATAATTTCTCAATGAAATGTGACTGTTATGTACAATATATATATATTATATTACATTTATATCGTTGAATGAGAAATTATAACATTGATATAATGTTATTGTTAGTTTACTAAGGTTTTTATTAGTGTTTAATGAGATGTATATAGCATTACTTAGATGTGTGATCACACACACATTATTAACATTAAAAGTATTAAAGATATTTCTATTAAATCAAATATTTACAGATCTCTTTAGTTTTTAGTCGAGCTATGTAGTGTATAAATAGTAATTTTAGTATGCTATTTGGACAAGCAATGTTCAATTTATCATATTATCAATTAAGGAATGAAAACTTGGTTTATAAATTTTAATATGTTTCATTTGAAAATAATTACTTATTTGCTTATGGGTACTTGTAATATCGAGAAAAGAAAGTGTTTTATGTATGTTCAGTATGCGATTGTGTGCGTATGTGTATGTGCGCGTTAATTAAAAGAGAAAGAGAGAATATATAAGGTATTTAAAGTATCGCAATGTTTTTTCCCGCAAGGGGACTTTTGCCGAGGAAAATGCTCAAGTATTAAACGCCATTGCGGCACATCATCGTCGTCGTGTTTTTCTATAAGGTAATACAGATAAGGTAATACACATGTATCTTACATGTAATAAATACTCAAGATTGGATGTTGCATCGAGCCCCATGAATTTTTCATCTCCGATATATAAGGCCACTCGGACGAGATAGCCGACGTGTGTCCTATATCTTCTGACGTGAACCTTACGGAACATCTCTGTTATTGGATGGAACATTACCGAAACGAGCGCACGGAGGAAATTATATCTCTATCGTGACATTTATGGGTTCACGTAAGAATGGACCGTTATGTGTGCGCGCCTAACTTTCCGTTTCGTTGAACATTTTTCCTCTCCTTTTTTCTTTTTACTACAAACGATTGATAAATCGTGTTTACGGCCTAAGTTAATTACGATCGAGAATACGTCGGTTAATTGTTATTTGCGACCACACACATATCAGAGTCCGACGATCTTTATCGAGCCAGATTTGATTTGTGCGGTTTGCAGATTGAAAACGGACCGTCCGATATTTTTCAGCCGTGCGTAGAGAATTTTATAAAAAAAATCGGAAAATTCGGGGCCAAAAACGGGGAAACTATGAGTCCTAGCCGGGTGCAACTTCACCTAAAGGTGAAGGAAGCAATAATGCTATAATGTAACCAAGAGATAATTATTCGTCAACAAGTGATGCTTTTAACTTGAAGTGCATGAGCGATTGAAAGAGTATGACTCTCTCTTCGATATATCGACACACTGAAATGTATATAAACTGGAACAAGAATAAGGAAAGAATTAAGGACCTCTCTCTCTCACTCCGTTTGCTTATCGTGAAAGCTTGTATGTGGCAGCGTACGTTCTAGTTAGTTTTTATATATTTCAGTGTATTGATACGACGCTCGACGATGCTCGATAGATCGTGCGAAAAAGCAAACGTCAGTGCGCGTCCTTCCAGTACATATCGCGTTGAACGCCACGATTTGTGCAGATCAATATTTCAAAGCGAATTATACTCCCGCCTTGCCTCCTCTCCCCCTCCTCCTACCGTTACGATACAATCTGATGCGGATTACGCGCGTGGAAATTTTATTCGTATATATTTATATTACGGCTGGCGTGCGTGCGCGAGTGACGTGGCAGTCTGCTATTGGATATCGTATCGTCACGCATGCGCAGAACGTCTCTTGCCGCGGAAAAAATTTCGTTAACTGTCAGCACTGATTTCGTGCAGAATTCGACGTGTCTTCGTTCGATCGGGGGAAACGAGCGATCGGCGAGCGATTAATGTGAGTGGTAAGCGAGTAACAAATCGTCGCTGACAACGCGCCGCTAATTGTAATTACGGTCAAACGGTATAACGTAACATTACGAACTGGCGTTATCGAAATAATCGCGATAAATACGACGTTGGTGCAACGCCACTAACCTTATTAACTTGCACGCTATCGTGTTTGTATTCGCAAGCTGTTACTATAATTATTGAATAACGCTATCGTTATTGAATATCCTTATATATTGCAATAAATCGCGCCGAAGAAATGCGCTAGCACGACGGATGCGTCCAATACATATGTCTTGATAAAAGCCGAATTAATAAAGATAAAAGCCGAATTTTTAGTTAGGTTGATCAAAAAGAGAGCGAAAGCGAAGGAGACAGAGAGAGAGAGAAAGAGAGAGTATGTGTGTGTGTGTGAGAAAGAAAGGCGTAGAGACACAGAAATAGAGAAAAGTGGACGGCCGATTAATTATTTCAATTTTCCATAGCGCAGAGCATCCGTGCTCGATGAAAAAAGACGAGAGCATCCACCGGTGGCTGTAAACGGCCGCTTTTATTTCGCGACTTGGCACAGTTGATCTCTTTCTCTCTCTCTCTCCTTTCTTCTCCTCTGTCTCTCCCTTTCTCTCCCTCTCTCTCTCTTTCTCTCTGTCTCTCATTTTCTCTTGTTTTCTTCTTTTCAGTTTTTCCACACCACGGCCGCAGCAGATTCTACCTAATGGTCTTTCCCTATGTGTCCGCGTCCGAGACTACCGGGGCCACTCGCTGCAACGTTTCGCGCGGAGGATCTATTTATCAAGGTCTGGACGGTGCGCGAGCAGCGCGAGATAAATAATTCCGTCTGGTCGCGTGCGCGCGTTCCCGCAGTTTCCCTCTGTACTTATTTCTTCAGTGGTGCGCGCTTGCTAAGGACATTGTTTAATCGAAGTATGCTAATGAACACGCGGGACGTCCGCGTTGAGTGCGCCACATTGTTTGTAGTCGGGAATCACGAGCACTGCAACGGACATTTCCTCGCGGACGGAGATTCGGTTCTACTCCTTTTCACACAATTGCAATTCTTCGCCTTGCTTCGGAAATTTTATGGCGGTTTTGTCCTATCAAAATCAAGATCGGTTCTCCACACATAAAATATATCGTTACATTCATTAATCGATGCGCACATACTATCATAAGTTGCCATTGCAGTTAAACTCATGTAAATGATGCAAAACTGCCCATTTGCCCCATTAATTGCGTCGCTATAATTATACACGGTGCGGTATAATTCGTACAACCGAATGGAACGTTACGGGCAGAGGATCATAATTGATCTTAATTCATGAGTCAACTCGTTGTGTCACCGTAGAATTCTCCTTTTACCGCGTAAGCCGTCACGATCTAAATTCTTCCTCTTTACGTCGAGGCCACCGTAGTGAATCGTCGAGGAAAGAAAGCAGTCGACATCGTGCGTATTATCGTCGTAAGCTGTTAAACAATTAGCGGGGTTGACACGAGGAATCACACAAAGAGATAATTTGAAGAAGTAGAACACAAAATATACTTGCGCGCGTACTGTTAGAACAAACAAAAAACTTACTTTAACTTTTATGAAAGAGAGAGAAAGAATTTCAGAACGCATTCAGTATTTATACTGTAAACACTTGTTTGTTAAATTTAATACATTTCACGTATTCTACTTCGATTTTTATGCTAATTTAACATATGGCAAATACGTTACCAAACAATATAACTTATTTGTATTTTAGACATAAAATATTTCACTAAAAATGTTTATATATTACATATAAATTGTGTTATTTTAACACTTAAAAACGATGCATATAAACTTAACTCAATAATCAAAATAACACAAGAATAATATGTTATATTAATATAAGAGTATGTTAAAAATTTAACATATTACTTCTACACAAAAATGTCTACATTAGTCGATTTCAAATACAAAATGTCTTTCTACTTATCATGTAATAGAAAAATATTTTGAATTAGGATGAGAAATAAATGCTATTAGTCTATAAGAACTGGATAGAGTATATATAAAGACGCAACAAAAAAAAGATTGGTTTAACGACTATATCCCAAAAACTAAAATAATTGCAGTATAAATATTTTGGTCCTATTTTTGGATCTTTCTCAGTGTACACTGAGAGAAAAATTATATTAAAATCAACAAGTATTTCCTTGATGAGTGCCATTAACATATTTACTTAAATCTCATTCTCTTTATTTAAACCAAATATTGTTTATTTAAATCATGTAAAATGTAGATTTAAGTAAATATGTTAATGGCACCCATCAAGAAAATATTTGTTGATTTTAATATAATTTTTCTCTCTGTGTAATATAATTTTTTCCTCACACAGAAATATTCAAAAATAGGACCAAAATATTTATATTACAATTATTTTAATTTTTAGCATGTGGTCGTTAAACCAATCTTTTTTTTTGTTGCACATTTATATATACCTTATCCAGTTCTTATAGACCAATAGTATTTATTTTTCATCCTAATTAAAAATATTCTTCTATTATATGATAAGTGTAGAAGATATGTAGTAATATGCATATAAGATTATCATCACTAAAATTATAGTACGATTGAAAAATGATTGTTTTAACCATAAATTATAGTAATTATATCTTTATATGATTATATAAAATATTGTAAATACCAATTTTCTCTCAGAAGTATATTCTCCTTTGAAATATTAAATTAATATTAAAATTCATACAGTATAAATGTTCCATTATACTGTAATATACATTATGTTCCATTATATTATAAAAAATATCATATTAGATGTGGTAAAATATATTTCTACTTCTAGTAAATATTTGTTACGGAATATTAGAGTAGTTATTTTACTTGGATAAAAAAAATTAATATTACTTAAATGTAATATTTTTTCAGTGTAGACAAAAATGAAATTCTTCTAACTTTAAGAATATTGTCCTTAAAAGAATATTTTTTTTAGTTTTAAAAGAATCCTCTTGACATCACTCGGGAAAACATATGATTATATAAAATTATATATGATTATATATAAATTATATATGCATGTATGCATGTATATGTCTTTATATACTCACATATATAATCATGTATATGCACATAATAAGAAAGAGAAGAAATAGTTTTATTCAATTAAATGTCAACATCATGTGTTGCCAAAAAAATAAGCATTTCTTTCGACTGCATTTATACAACAGTATTTTCTTCGTTGTGGGCATGTATAATTACACATGATTATAAGTGATGATATAAGGACAGAATTTATATATGATCTTTTTTTCTCACGCATATATAATAGGATTAATAGGGTAAAGACAAGATTATCCTTTTTGGATAATATATTTTGAGAATGACTGAAAACAACTGTTGTTATTAGATACCAAGTTATGGTATTAGATTACGAGTATTCTATTAGAGATACTAAATGCTTTCCGAAATTGATTGAAGTTGAAGTGTTGCAACCTTTTTGACATTGATTGTACACACGTCATGGATGGCTGAACATTCCATGGATCGAGAATTGTAAATTTTTCGGCTTCATACGTGTACGAATAAGATTAAAATCGTTATAATTAATGCCATGATAATCCTATGATCAGAGTTACTTATAATATTTTCAATCTCAAGTATTACATGTAAGGCTGAAAATCGTCTAACTCTCGATCTAGTAATGTTCGGGCATCCGTGACGCCGTATGTACGCGCGACGTTATTCCTTAAGCGGTCATCGGCGCGACGTCATTGGCAGGTAACCTCGCGGCGAGCGCGACCCTTAACCCTCCGGTCGGTGACACACACGTGCCTGTTTATTCACCTGCTATCGACGAACCCTCGTTGAAAGGATCGCTTCAGCGGCGCGTGAGAGAATCGCTCACGATCAGGCGAGCATCACGCCTCTGCGAATTTTGCACGAACGGCCGGATAATGCCACACAGCACGGACACATGTGTACGCGCGATTGCCCGCGCGAGCAGCGAGGCGTTCTCTCGTGGAGCGTGGAAAGCATGGAAAGCGTGGTCGATGCGCAACAGCATTTCCCAACTACCGGCCTAATCCGGCGCAACCCCGGCGCGCGCTACCCTCTGACTGTTTTTCCCGCATTTAACGAGAACGGCGCGACATCTCGACCTCGGTCGTCATCGTCGTCGTCGTCGTCGTGGTCAATGGGGCACGCGCGAACGTAATCGTACCGTCCAAGTCGCGAACTTTGATTCCCCGATGCGCTGCTAGGCTGGCTCTGTCGGTGATCGCGCGCGAACGTACCCGTCGAATTTTGCGACGTCACTCCTTTGGAGAACCGCTGATCGATATATCCTAGAGAATATGTAAACGTTCGGTGTGACGCGTCGCGTTTCTGTGGCGACACGACTGACAATGAACGCGTTGTCGAGCTTGGACGTTATCGAGATGTATGTCTGTTACCTGTGACGGATATGACGCCCACCATTCGTGGTATTGTCGCCTGGCAACCCTCTGTCGCGGAAGCGCGCTTCCAAATACAACTCGTGAGGGGCGAATGAGGAAGAATTGGCGAAAACTCGCGAGTCTCGAGACGCGACTATAACTCCCTTATATGCCTGCCTCGTCTGTAGGGGAGACCGCGGCTACAGAAGTCGCTCATGTACTTTTTTTTTAGTATTTATCTTGAGAGAAATAGTGGGTACAAAATCGCGAAATGGTCTTTTAGAACATAAATACTTTTCCCTGAGTTTAAAATTGAAATAATATTACAGTTAAAAAATTGATTTGTTAATAGCAAAGTAAATGATTTTCTGCGTGAGATTTTCAAGCCTCTCGAAATTATTAATATTCTCCATTGTAATTGAATAAAATTAAGTGATGTGTCACTAGTTAGAATAAATTTTCTTGCAAGTGTATGATATGTCGTTTCTGATAATAAATGCAATTTTCATTCATAAAATGATTGAAATGGAGCATATGAACGGACGAGATAAAATTGGTCCATAATTAAAGGAGAGCTGTGAAAACCTCTCGCGGAGACTCTGCAACTATCAATATACCAGAAATTTTATAGTGTTTTTTATGTAGCTTTTTTTCAACTGTGCTATTGGGCAGTTAAATGCGGTACTAGAGCAAGATGGCTATATTGTTAATATTTTGATTATTACAAAACAAAATATACGGTTAACAGAATCGCGAAAGGTATTAATACATAAAAGAAAATTACCTCTATCCTATTTATTATAGTCAGTTACAATTAGCTACCTAAGAAGCTGTAACTTCGAAATTCCAAAATATAAGTCATCTAGCCCCGGTCTCCCCTATCTTCCGGAGACGACGGAAAGGGAACGTTCGTTGCTTCTTTTTGTCATCGTTGCGAGAAAAATTACGAGTTCGCGCCGCGTCGACCGCAGTCACTGTGGCCATTTTTATCAAGCGAGAAGACGTCGGGCTGTGTACGTCCATTCCGAGGAAGTACACGTGTTAAGTTCAGGAGCGGAGAGTCGGGAGAGAGACGAAGGAAAGAAGTCTCGAGACGCGGGACGCTAGCAAACGGGAAGAAACGCGCAATGAGAGACTCCGAGACAATGAACGAGTCGGGGAAAGAAGAGAGAGAGAAAGAGAGATGTGGAGAGTGCTAGAAAATAAGAAGAGGATAAAAGGATTAGACTGCAGACTATAGCGGATGACAAAGGACTCAGGGTGATTTTGAAGAACCTCGTAGAGAAAAGATTCGACCATGAGGAAGAAAAGACTTAATGCATCCTATGTTCTTCGAATATTTGTACATAGAAAACTATATATTGCATTCAAATAAGTGTTA